CACCCCAAGAGGAAGGACTTCCACTGGTGCCCACCCATAGCCCTTAGGCAGGCAATTTCCAGTAACAGGCAGACTAGCCCATCAGCAAGGATTTACAAAATAATAAATGGGGAAGTTGTTCAGCTACCACTGTCAGGACTAACAGTGGGTGCACAGCCCTGACCTTTGCAAGGGCTTCAAGGATCACCAGCCTTCCAGGTCCCTTGTCCACACCTCTCTGCTAGTGAAGACAATAGGCGGTTTCCCACACCCCTGCCTCTGGAGGGGACTCTGCCCAGCTGAGACACGCTTATCTGAAGGCACGGAGCCCAGACCGGACCTCCCCGGGGTCAAAGCAGCCGCTGAGTCCTCACGCCCCCAAGATCTCGTGATGGCTGTCACAATGCAGGCTGTCTGTGCAATCGAAACCAAGTCCCCACTGCCTCTTGCTCCATCGCCTGCTTCCCTACGCGTTGCCCTGTTTGAGTCAAGAGCCTCTGCTGTGGGGAGCTGCCCAGGGTGCTGTCATCACTCCCGTTATGACTCACACGTGGAGACTGATATTCAGGGAGATGAAGGAGCTCGCCCATGACTCCCTCGTCCAAAAGTGACAACCCTCACGGATCCTCCGCATCAGGTTCTGGTTCTTCCTGCGGTCACACCCGCCTGCCTCAAAGAGCCGTGCCGCTGACTTGCACACCTAGGCAGGGATTTCCTGCCATGCCCTTGAACTCGGGTTCCCTTGTCAATCAATGTGTAGGCCATTTCTGGGCGCCTCCTGCGTAGCTGGCCCTGTGCTGGAAGTTGGAGGATGTGGGCCAGGGAATAGGGCCTATAGTGTCTGTCCTCAAGGGCTCACGTTTCTATAGGAGAGAGGATGTGTTCCTAGGCACAGGGAGCGTGGCCTGGGAGAAACCCCAGTTTGGCATCAGAAGGCTGGGTGTCCTTGCACCTGTTACCAGAGCAGGGCTTCCCTGTTCCTCCCCTCTACTTCCAGAAGTCGTTCTGAATCAACCAGCCAGTTAATGACCACATAAGTGCCACTGAAACATAAGGGACCTTTACCTGGCTGCCAAGGCCAGGCAGGATGAAGCAAAGAAAAGCCCCTCTGGAGGCTGGGGAGCCCCAGGCAGGCTTCCTGTAGGAGGCGAGGCTCAGGCCGGACCCAGAGAGATGGGACATGCACCGCAGGCTGGGAGACCTAACAGTCTGAGTTAGGGGGGGCCTTGGACAGGCTCCCAGAGGGCATCTAAGTGGATGGGCTTAATGGGCTCGCTGAGAGGACGGTAGAATGGATACATACGTGGGTCCATTCACACAACAGACCACTAGGCAGTAATGGGGACGGGGTGTCCTTACTCACACCCAACCCCAAGGTCACACCACTCGAAAGAGGTACAGCCAGTTGTAGTGAACTTTTCAATGAACAACACATCCATGGTCCAAAAGTGTAAACTTTGAATATTTATTTAACAAAAGTTCTGTGATGTTTCTAGGCTGGAAGGATGAGGACGCTCAAGAGACTAGGCCAGTGATGGCGAACCTATGACACGCGTGTCAGAGGTGACACGCGAACTCATTTTTTTGGTTGATTTTTCTTTGTTAAATGGCATTTAAATATGTAAAATAAATATCAAAATTATAAGTCTTTGTTTTACTATGGTTGCAAATATCAAAACATGTCTATATGTGACACGGCACCAGAGTTAAGTTAGGGTTTTTCAAAACGCTGACACGCCGAGCTCAAAAGGTTCGCCATCACTGGCCTAGGCCATAAGAGAGGCACAGCCTCACCTTCCAAAGCAAAAGCAAATAGGGATTATCAAATCATCGTAAACCAGATAATAACAGTAAAAGCAAATTGCTTAGACTATGGAAGTAGGTGCCAGAAGAAAGTTAGCCCATTTCAACGTATTTACCCCTGGGAAAGGAACTCAAAGGGGGTGATGAGGCAAGGCACCATTTCCGTTTTCACAGTTTGACTCTTTAAATTATGTGCATGCATAACTTTGACAAAAATAAAAATGATAATTATGTCGATTTTCAATTAGAAGGTGGGGGGTTAACAGTTGGTAACAGTTGTCTCTAGGTAGATGAACTGTGGGTGGTGTTTTATTATTTACTTTTGTTTGTTGTACTGTTTTTTCTTTGTGCGGGTGGTTTTTTTTAAAAAAAATTGTTTATATTTCCTGGGCTTTCTGTAAAGAACGTCTAATTCGTTGCCAGAAAGGAAAAAAAGATTAGTTGACTGATGGGCTTGGAGGAGACAATCCCAGTAAAGTATGTGTTTGCATGTATTCCTCCATCTCCTTCCAAAAAAGTTCTTAGGTGGAGTTAGAGTCAAAGACAAGAGTGGGGTCTTGTCTGGACTCACTGGCTCCACGCAAACCAAGATGGCTGGCCACCCTGGGCTTGGTCATTCACAAAGCTCTCTCCGCATCCTGTTGTTCCTCTGAGCTTACACCCACCCGGTGAGGTGGGTGGGGTGGGGGGTGGCCTCCCTCATTTTCAAGGAGAGGTGTGAACTCTCAGGGAAGCTCTCTGGCCCATCTTGGGAGAGGCTGAGCGTGGAAGTGGGTTCTTCCACCAGGTGCCTGGATTGTTCTGATAAAATAAAAAATTAAATTTGAAAATGAGTAGAACTCTAGAAGGACAGAGGGCAGATCAGTGGTTGCCAGGGGGATGGGCTGTGAAAGGGCATAGGGAGCTTGTGGAATGAGGGAAGTCTTCTCCGTCTTTGTGGTGGCAGTGGCTTTGCGGTTGTGCACCACTGTCACGCCCTTCGGGTCGTGTGCTCTAAATGGGTGCAGTTTATTGTACTTGCATTAAACCGCAGTTGAGAGGGAGAGAATACAAGGAAATGGGGCAACCAGGACCTCCTGGGGGAGCTCACACTTGGGACAACACGCACTTGTTTGCACACCTACTCTCTCATGTTCACACCCCTCTGACCCCGTGCACATGGAGTGTCCCTTTGGCCCTGGAGGGAGAGCGCAGTTCTGCAGGAGGCGGCCAGAGCACTGAATTGTTCCCTCTGCCCCCAGGACGCCAACCTGTCCTTGCACACAGACAACCCGGACCTCACTCCCTGCTTCCAGAACTCCCTGCTGGCCTGGGTCCCCTGCATCTACCTGTGGGCCGCCCTGCCCTGCTACCTGTTCTACCTGCGGTACCACCACCAAGGCTACATCGTCCTCTCCCTCCTCTCCAGGCTCAAGACGGTCAGGGGCTCCGGGCTCTCCTGCGGGTGGGGCTGGGGCCCCCCGGGAGGGGGGTTCTTTTTTGAATGAGTCCCTTCCCTCACCCTCAGCAGCTAGACAGGAGCCATGGGGCCATGGCAGCTTGCCAAGTGAGTCTGCAGCCATCTGATATAGTCCCTGCTTGGGGAGGTGCAAGCAAATTTTCCATCAGGGCTCTCCCCCCGCTTGAGAAGATTCCAGCCCTCAGGGCCATCCCAGCCTTCAGGGCCAGGCCCAGGCAGGTCTGGTAGCTTCAGGAGCAAGAAGTGATTGTCCCCACCTCTGGGCATGTTCGATCCAACTTGTACCTTATTTGTAGGTCTTGGGTGTCCTGCTGTGGTGCGTCTCCTGGGCTGACCTCTTCTACTCCTTCCATGGCCTGGTCCACGGCTGGGCCCCCGCCCCCGTCTTCTTTGTAACCCCCTTGGTGGTGGGGGTCACCATGGTCAGTGGGGGACCCTGGAAGCTGAGTGGGGGAGGGTCTCCAGTGGGTTGTGGGATTGTGATCGGGGATCCATGGGCTCTGAGGAGAACCTGGACCCACCTTCGCAGTGGGAAGAGGATGGGGGTGACCCCACAGACATCTGACCATGGGATGGGGAGGAAGCGAGGCAAGTCCAGATGTGTGTGTGCTCTCTCCCCGCTCCCCCTGCCCTCCCTGCACAGCTGCTGGCCACCCTGCTGATCCAATATGAGCGGCTGCAGGGGGTGCAGTCCTCGGGGGTCCTCATCATCTTCTGGTTCCTGTGTGTGGTCTGCGCTATCATCCCCTTCCGCTCCAAGATCCTTTCAGCCATGGTAGAGGTAAGGAGGAAGAGGGACACCGGCCGATCCAGACCTGTCCAGGAGGTGAACTCAGTCAGGGTCAAGGTCACTGCTGGTCCCAGGCTCCTGCCCTCTGCGCCTCCCTGGCACCCAGGACTTCCTCTGGGGTTCAGTCTTTTTTGTGTTGTTCTCTACTTGCTGTCTCTCTGCTGGGAAGCAGAACGGGGAAGTGGGGTCAGGCTGAGGACCAGTGTAACTCAGGGCAATGGGGCCATTGGTGGGTATTCGTGGGAGTGCAGGGGCTGTTCTGTAGCCACCACCAGTTGCCAGTTTCTGTGTGAAGACACACAGGCTGGGCTGGTCCTGGCTCACCTGGAAGTCCCAGGATCTTGTTCTCCCCTTTCTTCCCCCCTTCCTCCGTTCCTGGCCTTCCTCTTGATCTGCAGGTGGGTGATGGTGGGTGGTAGGAAATCTAGCATCTCCCCATTTCTCCATCTCAAGGGGAGGCCGTCAAGTTCATTCATCAGCACAGGCTTGGAATAATCCACTTACTCTCTGTGATCTTGGGCAAATTCTTTAGCCTTTTGGAGCTTCCTTTCCTCAGTTGGAAAGTAGTGTCAGACTTCCTACCTTGTAGGGGAGACAAGGGAGGCTGGACAGGGTGATGCAGGTGAGGTGCTCGCACAGTGCCTGAGGCAGGGCAGGTCCCCACTGAGCAGGGGCCCCTCCTGACCCGCCCCCCTCTCTCAGAGGAGCCTGGCGTCTGACGCTCCTCCCCGCTGTCCCCCCAGGGCAAGATCTTGGACCCCTTCCGCTTCACTACCTTCTACATCTACTTCGTCCTGGTGCTCTCTGCCCTCATCCTGTCCTGCTTCAGGGAGAAGCCGCCGTTTTTCTCCCCAAAGAACGTCGATCCCGTGAGTTTCCCACGGAGGCTGGGTGGGAGAGGAGGTTCCACGCCCGGCCCTCAGGCAGCCCTTCCCAGCACTTTCAGTCCCTTCCAGTCCCTTCCATGCCCAGGTCATCTCCACACGTGCCACCTGGGCTTGGAGCTGGACGGCGAGGGGCCTCCTCCCTCTTCTCTGCCGTGAGAGAGTGCTGGGCACTCCTGATTTCCCCCACTCCACTCTCCCCATCCAGAACCCCTGCCCAGAGACCGACGCCGGCTTCCTCTCCCGCCTGTCTTTCTGGTGGTTCACAAAGTGAGTTGGTTCTTCCTCTAAGCTGGGCCAGAGGGAGGGGTCCAGGAGATCGGGGGTGAGAGGGAGGAAGGGGAGCAGGCTGGACGTTCAGGGGCCTGCGGAGCTGGGCCTAGCTGGCCCCGATCCCCCAGACCCCCTCCTCAGTGGCATCGGGGCAGGAGAGGATGGGGAAGCCTGTTTGTTTGGGCTGGAGGCTGAGTGCAAAGGCCAGGCCTGGTCTTGGGTGTCCTGCTGTGGTGAGTGTCTCCTGGGCTGACCTCTGGCCTCAGCAGAGGTCATCTGGCAGGTGGCGAGGACAGGCCCAGGGGCTAGAAGGAAACCTTAATTAGCGCTAAGCTCTTCTGTCATCTCCTCGGCCACCGGTCAGAGTGGCTTGAGCAGGATAATTGTGTCTGTGACCTGAGTGACAGCTCACTAACTGTGCTGCATTGAAGAGGGCCCCAGCCAGCAGGCACTTCATCACCAGGACTCAGGGGTCAAGGGGGCATCTGGGGAGGAGGGAGAGAAGGGGCCTGAGATAGGAACTTGGGGTGGGAGGCAGTGACCTCCAGCCTGCTCACGGGGGCAATAACGGAGACACGTCCCTAGGGAGCCCCTTCTTTCTGGACACCCTGGTCCTAGTTCCAGGCTGCTAAACTCTGCCCCCATGTGGGGCCATCTGCCTGTCCCAGGCTGGCCATCCTTGGCTACCGGCGCCCCCTGGAAGATCAGGACCTGTGGTCCCTGAACAAGGAGCATCGCTCCGAGGTGGTGGTGCAGAGACTGCTGGAGGCCTGGAAGAGGCAGCAAAAGCAGGCAGCACAGTAAGACCCTCCCAGTCCCCCACCCCTCCACCCGCCCCCTTCATGCACCCTGGTCTCCTGTGGGGAGGCTGCTGGACCTGGGCTGATTACATGGTGAGGGCAGGGAGAAGAGCAGGGGTAGGAGGTCCTGAGGTGGGACACTCAGGCCTGGGTGGGCCGGCTGTCCCCGGCTCTGCTGAGGCCAGAGAATGGCTGCCACTTGTGGAGCACTGATTCTCCCCCAGCATGGCCCTGAGCACAGAGAGGACCTCAATCTCCAGCAGCCCTACGCTGTGCGTTCTGCTGTCCCCTCGTTACAGCTGGGGACACAGAGGCTTAACGCAGCACCCAACGTCCCCTCGGTGGTGGTGGCAGACCCGCAGAGCTGGAATCCACACCAGTTGTCTGGCCCCACTGTTCTCACCACTGCACTGCCAGGCCCGAGTGAAGGGTAGATTGCAGGGTCTTCCCTCAGGAGGGGCAGGGGCTGGAGAAGATGGTCCTCCAGCTGAGGGGCCTCCCCGCTGGCAGCCTCCCATCAGGGAACCCCTCTCTGGCCACCTGCCCAGCCGAGAGCTGGGGCTCTGAGTCCTCCCTCCCTCCCACAGCTGGCCCTGGGGCAGGCCCCTTCCCCGGGATTTCAGTGCGTGTTCAGTCAGAGCCCTGATTACCGCCTGGCTGTCGGGGGAGCCACCGGCTAGAGCTGGGTCAGCAGTGTCGTGGCTTCGGTGGCTGGGAGCCTCTGGGAAGCCCTATGGACCCCCAGTCTGCGTGGTCACTCCTTCTCTGGCCCTTCGTGTCACCTCTACCCCCTCCCTGCTCAGCTCCCTGGTGACTGGGCCACTAGCCTTCCCTGCCCATGCCTTCCCTCTCAGCATCCTCCCTGGGGTGGCGGGAGCAAGCCAGAGGCTGGCCATTGCTGGGTTATTGTCCTTAGGTAGCAGTTAGGGTACCACTCATATACCCTCCAGCACCTGAGGAGAGAGTCTCCTGGGGAGTTACCTGGACAGTCACCTTGCCCATCCCCCTCCCAGTCCTAAAAGTCAAGAAAGCAGCTCCCCTCTCCACCCCACTCATCCCAGGCTCTTGGCTTCCTGGGCCCCATTCCTACCCACTGCTCCTTCCTCCCTGACCAGACACAAGGCCGCAGCGGCATCTGGGAAGACAATGTCCAGTGAGGATGAGGAGCTGCTGGCGGGCCGGCCCAGGCCCCGGGAGCCCTCCTTCCTGCGGGCCCTGCTGGTCACCTTTGGCCCCGGCTTCATCACCAGCACATGCTTCATGCTGATCCAGGACCTCCTTTCCTTCGTCAACCCACAGCTGCTCAGGTCTTACCACCCTCACTCTTGCTGCAGCCCTTCCCTGGGCAGGGGGATGGCTGGCTGTCCCTGAGGACTGAGCCCGGAGGAAGGGACAACATGTAGTGGAAAGAGCCCCAGCCCAGGAGCCAGAGGGGCTCTCTCCATGTTCTGTGTGCCCTTTGGTAGTGGCAATGCCTCTCACATTCACATCCAACTTACACTCACCGGGTGCCTCCTGTGTGCCAGGCTCCCTGTTGAATGCATTAACATTCTTTCAATCCTACAAAGTGTCCCTATTCCCATTTTACAAACGAGGAAGCAGAAAAACTAAATTAAAAAACACACAAACAGACCTAGCACGGTTTTCTCAGCGGATAGAGCATTGTCCCTCAGACTGAAGGGTCCTGGGTTCGATTCCTGGTCAAGGGCATGTACCTCAGTTGCAGGCTCCTCCCCAGCACCCTCCTCCCTTCCACGCTCTCTAAAATTCAATGGAAAAATATCCTCCGGTGAGGATTAACAAAATAAACAAAAATAACAAGTGAGGAAGCAAAAAACTCAGAGTGAAGTGACGTGCCCACGGGCACACAGCTGATAGAGATGGATTTGAGTGCAGGGCTCTGGCCTCCAGCGACAGCGTTCTTTCCAGGTAATAGGCTCTCGTCTGTCACATAGCGGCTTGGGCTTGAAGGAGCTCTCAAATGAGAGGGTGGGGAAGAGCGCTGCCTAGCCTCAGAGCCACCAACTCCTTCCCCTCCATTCATGCCCTCATTTATTTACTGAATATTTATTGAGCCCCAGGGTACTGCAATGGTGCCAGCTGCTAGGGATGCAGACATTCACGAGCGATGGTCTTCCCGTCTTGTGGGAGAAACCAGTGTGTAAACCCATTAGAACGCAGTGCGGGCAGAGGTGAACTAGGTGTCTGGATCAACCGCAGGAGGGGTGAAGAGGCCAGCTTGGGAAGGAGCAGGGGACATTTGCAGGCCAGAGAGGTTATCACACTCGGAAGGACAAGCAGGGGTTAGTGAACCAGGTGAGGAAGGAGGGGCAGTCACCAAGGCCTGAGACAGCATGACTCAGGAACTCCAGGTGTTTCTAAATGCCGGCATGCAGAGGGAGGGGCAGAAAAAAACACACAAAGGGAGAGGGAGATCTTTGAAAGATTTGTGGGCCGGGGAGGGGCATCTGCTTTGCATTTGGAAGGATTCCCAGTCGGTAGTGTGGGGGATGTGAGGCGTGTGGCCAGATGGAAGCGGGCCAACCAGGGTAGGTGAGAGCCCAGGCCAGGAATGAGATAGGGTGCGGCAGCTACTCTGGAGATGGGGGAGGGGGGTGGTGTGCCAGGGAGAGGGAGGCATCAAGGGTGACTGGGTTCTGGCCGGGTGACTGGAGGAGGAAGGATCTTTTGCTGAGATGATGAACTCAGTGGGAGGAGGGGGCTGGGCACGGGGCAAGGTGGTGAGTTGAGTCTTGGCCACATGGACCTAAGGCTGGTGGGGAGTTCTCAGTGGACGAGTTAAGTGAGGGCAGAGAGGGGGACGGGTCAGAAGGTTAGAAAAGTAAAGAGGGCTGTGGAAGAGGAGGTGGGTAGGGCCCTGGAGATGGTCACCAGGTGGCACTGGGGCTGGATGATGTTGGAGAGGATGGATTTGAGGGGCAAGAGTCTATTTGGCCAACGCAGTAGGCTCTGAGAAGGCACCGGAAAGTCAAATCAAGGAACATGTGGCATTACTTCCTGCCATGTGGTCCAAGCAGGAAAGAAAGACAGGCAGGTGAGGCTGGTGATGAGAGGGATAGAAGGAAGGGGCAGTGGGAGCCACAGTAGATAGAAAAGGAGGTGAAGGCAGAAGGGAGCAAGGTCATGGTCTTGAGGCAGCACTGGGCTCCGTCCCCCAGGTCTGGGGGGTGGGCAGCGGCCCCCACCCTGAGAGGTTTCAGAGCAGGGGACAGAGTGGAGGCTGAGGGGGGGAGGGGAGGGCAGTAGAGGGAGCAGCCTGGGAGCCCTCCCTCCCCACCCTCATGCTTCTCTTCCGCCCTTGCAGCATCCTGATCAGGTTTATTTCAAACCCCATGGCCCCCACCTGGTGGGGCTTCCTGGTGGCCGGGCTGATGTTCGTGTGCTCCGTGATGCAGACTCTGATCTTGCACCAGTATTACCACTGCATCTTTGTGATGGGGTTGAGGCTTCGTACGGGGATCATAGGTGTCATCTACAGGAAGGTCAGCTGGAGCAGGGCG